ACTTTACGTGATAAACATGTGTTGGGAAGCTGGATCTGCAATATGGAGCTTTTGCATGACTTAAAAAAGCATCTGTATGGTTAAAGGATTGAAGGGACTCGGCGAGTCCCAAGGTCGACTCGGCGAGTCATATGAAGATAGTCATGTACTCGACGAGTTGGATGAACAACTCGGCGAGTCCGATGAAGATTGCCTTGGGCTCGGTGAGTCAGTTGTATGACTCGGCGAGTCGGCTAGGGTTTTTCCCCAACCCTTTGATACGCGTGAACTCGGCGAGTTGCGAGGAAACTCGACGAGTCAACCAAGGATTTACCGACATCTCGAGTTCAGGAAGGACTCGACGAGATCGGTGAACTGCACTCGACGAGTCGGGTCAACATGGACTGTTGACTTTGACTGTGGACTTTGACTTTGACCAAGGGTTGACTAGTTGACCTCTGGGGGCATTTTGGTAATTTGGAAATTTATGGAAAAAGGTTTTTATGTTAACTATAGGTGGTGGAGTTCGTGTTGGCGATTCGAGAGTTGAGCCTATCACTTCAGTGCGGCATTTGGGAGGTGAGTTATCAGGTCTAAGGCACCAAGGCCGACCCTTTATGATTTACATACTGGTTTAGGATGGTTGCTATTGCTATGCTAGATTTCATCCTGGTTTAGGATGGTTGCTATGTTAGATTACATCCTGGTTAGGATGGTTACTATGTTAGATTTCATCCTGGGTTAGGATGGTTGCCATGATTAGTGATATGTTAGATCTGCATGTTTACTTGTGTATTTGTATGAACACATGATTGTTGGTTTGGGGAAAGGGTTGAGGTAGGTCATGCTGTGTGCAGTAGGCCAAGACACCCTGGGCGGACCAGGTAGACTGCAGTCCTGGGCCGGGCAAATCTAGTCAGGCCGAAGGCCCATCGAGCGGTCCGGATAGGCTGAAGGCCCCGAGGAGGGCGGTCCAGACGTGCCGAGGGCTCGTAGAGCGGTCCAGATAGACTGAGGACCGGGAGTCGGTCCAGTCAGACTGATGGCTCATTATGCATGTTGTATCTGTTTGCTTATATGTTATATGATACGATTATGACTGTATGGCGTTGATATTTTGGGGGTAACTCACTAAGCTTTCGAGCTTACATTTATCGATTATTGTTTCAGGTACTTCTGATGATCACGGGAAGGCAAAGGCGTGATCGTACCGCTCCTCACATTTTATGATTTTATGATTTGATTCTGGGATACTCTGACAATATACTATTTTGAAAACAAGTTTGTAATAATCATGTGTTTTGAAATGTTTTAAAAAGTTTTTAATTGGCTCGAATTTTATGGATGTTATACAATTAGATGTTGGAGAGAACAATGGTGAAGGAACTTCCAAAAAAATAAGGCTAATGAAAGTATCCAAGTTCTACAAACTAATCAATCTATGCCAAAACACAAGAACCACAATCTAATGAACCTACTCAAAAACCAAAAGTGACATAATCTTTTAATTTGAATGGTCTTCCTTCAGACTCGGGGGATAGGCCAAAGATTACATCTTATAATCCTAATCAAATGGATGAAATAATGAGAACATATTTGATTAAAGGGCCTTGTCAACCAAATGGGCATAATTTTGAATTTACCTTATTTAGTAATAAGCCAAGACGTTTTGTTGTGGAATGGTTTACTGATTTTCCATGGTTAGAGTATAACATAAAAAAGAAGAAAGCATATTGTTTTTGTTGCTACTTGTTTGGAGACATGATAGGGGAACAAGGTAGAAGAGATGCATTTATAACTGAATGCTTTGACAATTGGAGTAAAAAAAACTTATTCCGGAAACATATGGGTAATATTCAAAGTTATCACCATAAGGCCCAAGAAAAGTATGATTTGCTATTGAGAAAAAACCAATCTATTGGTGAAGTCTTGCATAAGCAAACAGAACTTGAACAAAGTAATTATATACTTTATGAAATTGATTACGTGCTACAATCCGTAGTTGTAGATTTTTTTGAAAAATGCATTACCATTTTGTGGACATGATGAGATGGAAAAGTCTAATAATAAAGGACTTTTCATTGAAGTCTTATCTTTGATTAGAGAAGATAATGATAAGATTTTTAAAGTTATTTTAGAAAATGATCCAAAAAATGAAAAGTAGACTTCTCCGATGATTCAAAAAGATATTGTCAATTGCTTTTTAAAAGAGATAATCAAGTCTATTTGTAATGAAATTGGTAAAGGTGTGTTCGATATATTAGTTGATGAGTCTAGTGATGTTTCCAAAAAAGAACAAATGGCTATAGTTTTGAGATATGTTGATAGACTTGGGATTGTAAAGAAAAGATTTATTGGAGTTGTTCATGTGTTGGATACATCTTCTTTGTCTCTTAAAGCCGTCATCGATACCGTATTTTCCAACACAAACTTGAGTATAGCTCAGGTGAGAAATCATAAAAAATTTATTCCTTTAATACAATATTAATTTTATTTTTATGTCTAATATATTATTTTTATTAATTTTTTCAAATATATAGGTGAGGGGACAATGTTATGATGAAGCAAGTAATATGAGTGATACATTAAATGGTTTGAAATCTTTGATTTTAAATGAAAACAATTCATTTATTACACTTTCATAATCAATATTATCAAGAAATTTGTTATTGGTTGAAATTAAAGTCAAATTGTTTAATCTCTCTTAAGATATCGTCAAACGCAAATAAGATTTAAAAACTTTAGTTTTTGAAAAGTTTTTTTTTCCACTGATGCAACTATAATGAGAACAATCAACAATGTTATGTATGGTAGACAAGAAACTAGATAAGTGTTTATCGTTTTTAAGAAATTTAGTATTCCATTAGTTGTATTATCTTCAATTGGTAAATCTTTTTTTAACATTTCCAGTTGGACAATTAATCAGCATCGATGTCTAAGATATGACCATTTTTGCAACTTATATTTAAGATTCTTGTAACTTGCCTTTAACTCACTAGTATTCAGTCACATTAGTTTTTCTGTTGTGAATAAAAAAAAGCAAAAATGTGTTCATATTGTATGTATCGTTCAAAACTTTGCTCCAATGAACCAATGGATTGATCAATTATGTACACAAAATATTGAATCATAAATGACTCTTGAGGTGAAAGTTCATGTATATGTTCTGATAACCCAATGTTACTCTCGTCAAAATATTTTTTTTAAATTTAAATTTTTTATTTTCTTTTTTCAAAAAAATACCGGATCAATTCATGAATCGGAAGTTATAGCTTTGCTTGACAAGTAGCTTTACTTTTGATCTTTATATATGTCTTTTCGTCAACAAGTTTATACAAAACTTCTATTATTTTAAGAGTTTGAGTCACTATTTACTTCCACACTTTCGATCATACTTTCCCACCTTGTAGTAGACAAAGATTTTAAAATGAGATTTTGTTTGGGCAATATGTCTTTTAGAATTTATGATTAGATTTTGATTTTTTGTATTAGATTTTTTGAGTAAAGTGTCTTTTATAAAATATGAAATCGTTTGCTATAATTATAGTTGAAACAAATTTGTATTTTTCTTTGGATATACATTTATCTTAAATTGATGATGAATTTTAGAATTTATGATTAGATTTTGATTTTTTTTTTCATAATTAAAATTACTTCAAGATTACAACCAAATGTTACGTACATAAGTAATCGATAACCTAATTTCTTTATTAATAACCTATAAAAATGTCTTTTAAAAAAGCACCAACATCATAACTATAGATTTATCCAAAAATTTGGAGCCCCCCTAAAATCCAAGGCCCCGTTCGACCGCACCTCCTGCACACCTCGGGACCGTCGTGGCGGATCCCTGCCTACGCCGATTAATCCCCGTCTACGTCGATTAAGCCATTGACTCCAGTGGAGTGGACCGACTAGTAACCGCCGAATGTTTTTTTTACAACCTTGTTTTTACCAAATATTTCTTAATAAATAAAATCTATATATACCAGACAGGGGTGACTCAATTAGTTTGGGGCTCTAAGCGAACCAAAATTTTGGGGCCCCTTGAACAATGAAATAAAAAATAAACTGAACAAATAAGAAACCTGAACTTGACACAGTCAATATTAAAAAAAATATTAAGCCCTTATTAACCCTGATAAAAAAACAGATTTATTCCTTTCTTTTACGAAGAAAATAAAAACCAGATTTCTAGTTTTCTACATCAAATAAATTTAACTTCGTCAAAATAACAAAATTTAACATAGATAATAGATTATCAGCTTATCACAAATTCACAAATCACAATCATAGATAATCAGAGGAAGAATTGAAGAAGAATTTACTTTTCAAAATTCAGGAATCACCAAATCTATTGAGTTCTTGAGTCCCTTTCAAAAAAAAAAAAAAAATCAACAATGGAGGTAACCACTTTTTTTTTTTGAACAATCAAGAAATAGAATCGATCAGAAATTTAGAACTTAGAGGCAGGAAGAAAAATCGAGAATCAAAGAATCACCGGTAATGGCTTCTGCCGGTTCTGAGGAGCATGAAGATTGAAGAATAAGATCAATTAATCAGATTCAAACGACAAAGAAAGAAGAAGAATTGAAGAACAATTGTTGTGTCAGCGAGTCGCATTCAATAGATAACAGTTTCGTGTGCCGATCAAATGCTTTGGTTTCTGCAGTTGATGTGCGCGAATGAAAATTGATGAATCCTAATCGACAATTCACAATTCCCTAATTAAGGTTTGGGTTAAGTGGAGCCCTTAGAAATGGCGACCCTAAGCAAGAGCTTTATTTGATACATACTAAGGCCGACCCTGATACCAGCTATCAACTACAAATTACTAACTTTTAGTTTTCAACAATCACGCCCTAAATGTTTTATTGAAGATGAATTATAGTGTAGATTGATTTATTAAGTTAATGAAATAATATAGAAGAAATTTGTTTGTTTGGTTGTGTTCTATTTTATTTATCTTTTTATTTTTATTATCTTATGGAGTAGTATATAAGATAAGTGTTCTGGTGTGTGTTGTAAAACCCTTCACATTTTAGGGTTTAACGTTCCCTCCCTCTCACCCACAGACATGATGATGAATACTATCTTCTTCAGAGCTTCATCTACCTCCACCAGATTCGCTGCTCTTGCTTCCTGCAACTCGCTCAGGCTTCTTCTTCCTTCATCGTCAATAGCAATTCCAATCAAATCTCAAATTTTCATCAATCCCACTGTTGGGGTTTTAAGGAGCAATTTCCACGCCTCTCGATGGGTAGATGTCAGGGCTTCCGCTGTCCTAACACAGGCTGCCGGATTCGCTGCTACAGCCGAAATTTCATACGAGGAGGACACTTTATCTTCATCTTCTTCTTCTTCTTCTTCCTCTTCCGATGGTCTTGAGATATCTAGCCTTGGGATTCCTCAAGAGATTGTTAATGCTCTAGCCAAAAAGGGTATAACCAAGCTCTTTCCCATTCAGGTAACCTAATTTTACCTTTATTCTGTTCATTAACATTGAAATTTATTCGTATATCTACATATTCTCATGATGTAATCCTTACAGAGAGCTGTACTTGAGCCAGCAATGCAAGGGCGTGATATGATTGGGCGTGCCAGAACAGGAACTGGGAAAACTCTTGCTTTTGGTATTCCTATCATGGATAAGATTACTCGTTTCAATCAAAAGAATGGGTACTTGACTTCATTTTTCGTTTGTGCTTGTTCATACTTCATATAAATCAAATGTATGTTTGCATATTCATTGATAAAATCGATCTTTTTATCCACAGAAAAGGGAGAAACCCACTAGCCATTATCCTGGCTCCCACCAGAGAACTAGCTCGCCAAGTAGAAAAAGAATTCTACGAAGCTGCACCCAATCTAGATACGCTTTGTGTCTATGGTGGAGTACCCATTCAACGTCAGATGAGCACCATTGATCATGGTGTTGATGTGATAGTAGGCACTCCTGGACGTGTTATCGATCTGATCAAGAGAGGTTCCTTGAAGCTATCAGAAGTCAAATTCGCTGTTCTCGATGAAGCTGATCAGATGCTCAATGTGGGTTTCGCAGATGATGTTGAAACAATTCTAGAATATCTCCCACGAGAACGCCAAACCATGATGTTTTCAGCAACAATGCCAAGTTGGATTGTGAAACTCACCCGCAAGTTTCTCAAAAGTCCATTAACTATCGATCTTGTGAGTCCGATCTACTCATCTACTCATCTACACCGTTTTCTCTTTTCCTTGTTTACCTCTGTGAATCTTGTGATATGATACTAATTACTAATTAGTAATTCCCCTTTTTTAATTTCAGGTTGGTGATTCTGACCAAAAATTAGCAGATGGAATCACATTATATTCTATTGTAGCAGATAATCGCGATAAACCATCAATTATTGGACCACTTATAGCGGTATATATATATATATATATATATATATATATATATATATATATATATCTACTTTACTTATTTACCTCATAATTTCAATCTTTCCAATCTTTACCTTACGTTTATGTTTAACTTCAGGAGCATGCAAAAGGGGGAAAGTGTATACTTTTCACCCAAACAAAACGTGATGCAGATAGATTATCACAAGCAATGCAAAGACACTTCACCTGTGAACCTCTTCATGGAGATATTACTCAAAATCAAAGAGAAAGAACACTCTCAGGCTTCAGAGATGGGCGTTTCAATGTTTTAGTAGCCACTGATGTTGCTGCTCGTGGTCTTGATGTGCCTAATGTTGATCTTGTAAGTGAATTTTGGTTTCTATTTCAATGGCATTTTTGTAATTTGGTAGACAAGTTAAGTTAATGAAAGTATGTTGCTATTTGTTGCATCAGGTGATACATTATGAGCTTCCATCTTCTTCAGAAGTGTTTGTTCATAGGTCAGGTAGAACAGGGCGTGCTGGAAAGAAAGGAAGGGCGATCTTAATCCATTCAGCTCAGCAGATGAGAGATGTGAAGGGATATGAACGTGAAGTAGGATGCAGGTTTTCAGAGGTATAAATTATAAAATATAAAATATAAAATATAAAATATAAATATAATGGGAAATCATTTAAGGGAAAACTCTATAAAAGTCCTTGTATTTCGGTCTCATAATTAATTTAGTCTTTATATATTTTTTTTATATATTTTTTTTATTCAATTAAGTCCAAAAACCCGGCAATTGTATTCATTTTGACCATTTACCCGGTCAACAAGTCATCCTACTTTCTAAAATTACACTTTCGGATTAGATTTAAAAATTTATTAAAAATTTGGTCAAAATTTTACACTTTTGGCCCATATTTCAAAATTGTGTTGCGAATTCATCCTAAATTTAGTTTTTTACGTCTTTTTTTCAAAATTCTGTTTCGAATATGTTTTGTTTGTTGTATAAAATCATATTTATACAAAAAAATATGTTTTTTCACATAAAAAAATGTTTTTTTTTAATTATATAGAAAAAGTAGTTTTTTTATGTGAAAAATATGTTTTTTGTATAAATACGATTTTATATAAAAAAAACATATTCGAAACAAAATCTTGAAAAAAATGTAAAAAACTAAATTTAGGATGAATGCGTAATAAAATTTTGAAATCTGGGCCAAAAGTGTAAAATTTTGACCAAATCTGTAATAAAATTTAAAATCTGGGCCAAAAGTGTAATTTTTGAAAATAGGATGACCTGTTGACAAGGTGAAAGGGTTAAAATGAATACAATTGCCGTTTTTTGGGACTTAATTGAATAAAAAAAATATAAGGACTAAATCGATTATGAGGCCAAAATATAAAGACTTTTATAGAGTTTACCCATCATTTAAAATAATTAATAATAATCTCATTTTCTCATTTGTTGTGATTTATCAAGCTTCCTAGAATCACTGTTGATGCAAGCTCAAGAATCGAGCTTGGTGGTGGTTCTAGCTCTTTTGGCGGTAGATTTGGTGGTTCCGATGGTTATGGCGGCGGCGGTGGTGGTGGTGGTCGGGGTCGTTTTGGGTCAAGTGGTGGCGGCAGACCATCTCGTGATGTTGGTTTTGGCGGGTCAAGTTATGGCGGCGGGTCAGGTGGCGGCTTTAGAGGGTCCAGCTCTGACCGTGGCGGTGACCGGTCAAGTGGTTTTGGCAACATGCGGTCAAGTGGGTTCTCAAAATCTGGTTCGGGGTCGGACCGTTCAAGGTCTAGCAGTGGGCGTTTTGGTAATTTTGGTGAAGATTAAAATCAAGATTTCCAATCTTGTTCCTAGGTGAGTTTGATTTTACACTAGACAAGACTGAGACCTTGTACTGTGTTTGATTAAGACTGAGACTGATGTCGATGGATAAATGACGTAAATGCCCTTGGACACAAATTTAGATTGAAAAGAAGTCAAGGATGGTTATTAACATGATGCCTAACCATCATTTAAGTTGGTCAATTATAGGGCCCTTGAGTGTTGCATTATATAGAAAATATGTTTGACTCTTTTTTTGTTGGTTGATTTTTTATGATGTAGGCAGGTGGGAGGAGGGTATTAAAGACCATTTACCATTTTGTGTGGGAGGGATGGCTTCAATTTGGAAGGCTGGTGGTGGGGGAGGGTTTAGCTGACATTATCATAACAAAAGAAAAGATTGATCTTATTCTTTTTTAGTTATTTTTTTTATATGTGTTATGTATATGAATCTTTCTGGCGGACTTTATAAGTAATTTTTTGTTTATTTATATTTATATTTTATCCTGTTGAAAACAGTAAAATGATGTTTCATAATGATTCAAAGTTTTGTATCAAAACCTGGAAGGTACTTGACTGAAACAAAGTCGATGTAAATCAAACTTATTCAAATAAAAGGCTAAACCCTAGCTAAGTACTAGGAAAAAAAAACTACATTTCAATTGTTGTTGCATTGTATCAATGAACATAGGTTGAAACCTAAGCTAATTTAGGGTGGTACAAATGAACATAGGTTGAAAGACTAAGCGTTTAAACCATAAATATAACAATTAAATGAGTTTTCACCCAAAGTAATTCAATGAGAAAGGGGTTTACGGATTTGGCATTTATTCAAGAAGGGTTTACGGATTTGAATTGTTTACAAATGGTGTTTTCGCTTGGCCTAGATCCGAAAACACAATCCAAAGCCCATTAGGGGCGAAAACTCAATAGAGTAGGAGCGAAAACACACTTTAAAGCCCATTAAGGATTGAAAAACCCTTTTCTTTTAGAATTAGAATCCGAAAACTCTTTTCACTTTGACTATAGATCTGAAAACACACTTTCTAGAACATAATTCATCCGTAAACACTCCTAAATATCTTATATCTTATCCAAAGTTAGTTTCCCAATGTGATTACCCCGTAAACCTCACATTCACCGCCTCGTGAATTTCCTTCATATTTAAGGAACAAATGAATTCATTTAACACAATCAGTAAACTCATTTCATCCATATGCTCTCAAAACACATATCAAAGTTATTCACATCTTCAAGCAGTTACCCAGAACTCTTCAAACTTTTATAAGAACTTCTCTTCACTATAGTAAGTAATCTATACGAACTAATATTATTTATCTTGATAAATTATTAGTTATCTAATTTATACATGTAATCATGTGTATAAATATTATTAGATACGTTTACAACCGCGTGTTCTAAGCAAATGATCGTCACAACCACTTCGTAACCAACCAGGAACTCACACACGAGGTGAGTTCATACCCTTACGTTTTCATGATTTTTCATTGTTTTTTAGGGGGGGGGGGGGGGGGGGGGATACAAGTGTAACACAAGAAATTTGTGTTAATATATAAATGTTTTCAATATTTATTAATTGTTGTCGTTAATAAAATTATATATATATATATATATATATATATATATATATATATATATATATATATATATATATATATATAATTAGGATTCATCAGGCTTAGAATTGATAATTTGGCTCCATTTCATTTTCCTTGTTTGATTGTGAGCTTGTGGTAGAATTATTTATTTGACTGTTTGTTTAATCAAAATTATATAAATATTATATTTATATAAGTATAAATTCATTTTAAACATGTTAAACAAAAATATAATTTTTGCAAACTATTTTAATACTATTTGGGTATAAATATTGAATTAAACGGGACAACCGTATCACAAATTTTCGATTTAAGCTTACTAAATTATTTACAATACAAAAGTTTTCATTACGGTAAAACACAAATATATAAACTATAATAGGTATAGTTTATGGAACTTACATGTTGTCTTTCAAAGTTCAGATTACAATATAGAACACAAACATATAAACTATAAACTTACGGAAAACAAACATAACTTTTCATATGTTGTAACCTTTCCCGACAATCCCGCACCAGAGCTGCTTGTAATAGCTAGGCCGGCAGGCCTGTGGTGACAAATGTCGTACCGATTGCGATGCCTGAAGAACGTCGTGTTCAGGCCATCTTAGGTCATCAAACATGGTTATGATAACTCACAATTTGATATTAAGCGATACGATTAGTGTAAGAATAAGTAATCATCTTCACATAGTTTTATTAAATAATAAAACTATAATACAATATTTTACAAGTACAAATACAAAATACTAAGTTAGTACGGAGAAAACATAATTTTCACGGTTTCATATGAACTAAAACTATAGCACACTATATCAGAGTACAATAACATTTACACGTTTTGAGTAAAATATATTACAACCGAATGTATAGGATTTTCTAGGAAAACATGTTTACATTTTCTAAGAACAAAGACAAATTTCAATTACAAACAAGCTTATGAACTCACCAACTCAATTTTTGACACCCTTTTCAAAACTACTTGTATTCTCAGGAAATCAGTAGACATGTACATCCACGGGTTTTTGAGAAGATGGAGCACTATAGACTCATGTCTTTTAACTTTTGATATACATTTTTGGTGTCAAGTATACAGTTATTTGAACACATATGTAAAAACTCATACTTTCTTAATACATGATTGTTGTACTTTGATTACTATTATGCAATTGTTGTGATACTGTACATGACGTCCTCCGCCCCCGAATGTTTCCGCCGTTCCGGTTTGAGGGTGTGACATTGACTATATGTATATGTGTGTTTATTTCCGTAATTTGTTTAAAGTTGCATGTTACATGACACTATAGATTGTGACATTGTTTTTCTTGATAATAATGATGTCATTGAAGATGATACAAGCTAACTCATAATCATACTAGAACCTTATTAACACGATCACTATTAATTAGAATGTACCCATACGTGTCTCGTAAAAATCAAGCTCATAACTTTATTAAAACACCAAAAACTCGCTTTTAACTTAATTGAATGATTCAACATTATAATTTTGATTAAAAACTAGTATTAAAATTACATCCAAAACATAATACTAAGACTAACCCTCACTTACAAATCAAACTCCATTAGGCCATGGATAAATTCATGAAGTTAGGGTTTTAAACTGTTGTGTTTTATTCAAAATCGTTTTTCCAAAAACGCTAAAAACGACAATAGAAGCTTTAAAAGTATAATAAAATTAAACTCTTTTTAAACCACCAAGGATCATTTGCAAATAATGGAAAGATTAACAACAACTATAGAAGGAAACGTTATACAACCTTTAATGACTTTGATTCCTCTGGGGAGGTTGAAAGTTGATGAAGATGGCAAAGACTTAAAAGAGAGCTTCTCGAGAAGTATCCACCAAGCAAAACTAAAATACTTCAAGATGTTAGTCTTCACTTGTATTAAGTTGTTATTAAACCATTAAGACTTATACTAAATAAGCCTTAAGGAGAAGTAACTTATGAATCTTCAAATCTAGCACCAAATTGCAAGAAAGAAGAGAGGGAATGATGGCTCAATAACCATGAAATTTTTAGTCGTTAAAGAGTGAAAAGAGAGAAAAAGATCAAAATTTTCTTATTAGTAATGCCCTCCTTTTATACATACCAATGTATACAAAGTCAAGCCTTATATTACAGGAAAACATGGTGCTCTTTATGACAAGTATGGGGTAAGATGAAATATGACAAGTATGGAGTAAGATGAAAGCTAACAAGTAACACAAAAGTAAGACTTGTGTGTACTCTTGGTTTTGACTAGAAAGTAAAAACTAGATTGCCATTATTTTCTTACTTCCTAACTAGTTGGTTACAAGGCCAACTAGATGGTTACTCAAAGTGTCCATTTAATTGTACACGACTCATATATTCATGTCATATGAATATAACTAGTTTTTGTCCCTTTTTATTATTATTTCCCAGAAACATTAATTCTCAATTAATTGTTAAAATATTATTTTCATAAAATAATAATTTTTCCAATTAAATACAAGTGTCGATTATATTTATTAATAATCAAATTACTTTAATAAATAATCAATAGGGCTAATTACTAATCTAGCCAAATTAAGAAAGTAATTAACCATTTTTAGCCAAAAATTAAGAATTGTCCCAAAATAGCCCACGAAACCGTAGGTTTTTAGAATCGTCTACTGTTTCGCTAATTCATCTACTGTTTCGTGTTTAGTATAAAAAAAATTCAATTTGAAGATATAAAACCGTAAGTTTTTTTTAAAACCTATGGTTTTCTCTCTATAAAATACGGTTTCCCAAACCGTAGCTTACGGTTTTGGGTTAAATCTACGGTTTTCTGTTTTTTTAATGAAAACAACGGTTTTGGGTTGAAGTCTACGGTTTTGGGTTAAAAAGCTACGGTTTTGTGCATTATGGACTTGTACACCGTAGGTTTCGTAAGAAACCTACGGTTTTAATTTATTTTTTTTTTCGGTTTTTTTCAAAAATTTTTTATCCCCATATACAAAAATTATTCCTAATCAATAATACGGTAAAATTTTGATTAAAAATGGACGTATCTTGTTGTTCTTCGGGTGCTCTATTGAGAGAAAATAATAGACAATGGAAGAAAAAATAAGGAAAAAATAACCTAAACTGAAAAATAAGACATTATATACTATGAGCCAATGGGCCACAAAAAAGTAGACGGGTCACGAAAGAGTAGTCCATTGTGACGAAAGAGTAGTTTTCGAAGGTTGACCGTAGTCAACCCTAACCTATCTAATATTTCGTGGGCTAGTTTTGGCTAATGTGTTTTTTTTGGCTAATTTTAGATAGGTAATTAGTATATTTGCCTAGATTAGTATTTTCCCCATAATCAATGAGTAGTAACTTCCTATAATGTGTAACCCTATAAGATAATATGTCATTAACAAATATCATTCTCTAATGACTTTTTGGCATAAAGATCTTTCATAAACCACTATTAAAGCTTCATAAACTAAGTTTTTGATCATATAGATGACTAGATGTACGTAAATAGTTTATTTAGCGTTATAAACTTATAATTCAACACTAAGCTTAAACTAATCTTGAGCTTCATCATAAAATTTGTTTTTATGTCAATCCTCCAATTCTAAAAGCCAATGACAAATAATTGGTTAAATTAACGACCTTATAAACTTTACAACATGAATTTGATGTTGATACTTTAGTTGCTTCAGTATTGTTCCTCCAAATTAATTCATATTCCTCCAGTTGAGATCTCTATAATCACTCTATAAAAGCATTCAAAATGAAGGGAAGATTTTGATTTAGAACTTAAGATCTAAACTTTCTGAATTGGAAAAACTAGTCCGTCAACTTCTTATTTTACACTTTGATATAAAATGTCATCTAATTAGCATTTC